ACCTAACAAAACAATCCTCAGATCCACTTTTATTTCTCACCTGCACCTGTGTGCTCCAAGGAGGTCCTGACCACAGGACAGCGCAAGGAGAGGTGGCTCACTGGGAGTGACTCCAGCGAGAACACAACTGCAAAACTGCCAGAAAGCACCCAGCGAGGACGGACTGTGGGACAACATTGTCTGCCCTACGCAAGGGAAGGGGGCACAAAGACACATAAGTAGTCTTGTCGCATAGGAAAGAAAGGAAATGAACTCTCCTCCTTGTTCACAGCGGACAGGAGAAGTGAGGGGCGCATCGTGCAGCAAAGGAGACTACAGAAGGATGTATGACGGTCACCGCAGGAATAGGCTGGCAGTGAAAACCACAGCCATGTCCTACCCTGGCTTCCCCATAGCTCTTCCTAAGTCTTGACACAGCACCTTGAGGGCTGGGCACCAACAGCTCCTGCTGCCTGGATCAGGCAACAGGAGACCAAGCTGGGGCCGTCTTGAGGAGCAAGGCAGAGTCGCAGCATGTGGCTCAGGAACAGGGAATCCAGGCAGAAAGGAGGCAGCTACCTGCAGAGGCCACAGCAGGGCTCCCCAACACCAAATGCAAATAGTGGCTTTGCTTGACCAGTGGCAGGTGCAGGGAGATGCCCCTGTGGAGCTGGAGAGCCAACGTCCATACCTCTGCACTGAGCCCCTCTCTTGGGAGGCAGGAGAGGAAAGCAGCCAGGACAGAGCCCTATCTGCGTCACTCAAAAAACACAGGAGGAAAAGGATGCTGAAGGCAGCGAGGGGGGTGAGATGAAAGGAGTGGGTCCTGGAGCTTTCTGAATTGGACCTCACACTGGAAGGTCCTCAAGTTCCAACCATCTCTCAGGAGGAGAAGGAGCTGTAGGATGTTCCCAGGCTACATGATACCTACAGGATGGTTTTGCTTTGCTTGAAGTTACTAGCTGGTTTTCCTGAGATTTTTTAGCTTTGCCACGAACATGAATATTGAAGGTATGCTTTGGTGAGCTGCAATCCATGTTGCCTGGTTGTGTGTGTCTGCCTGTCTCTGTACTTTTCACGCCACTTCTGCAGGGATAAACCTTCATGTTCCACCCGATGCAGCACAGCCTGGCCTTTAGAAATTGTTTTCTAAAAGTGGAGGAGCTGGGCACAGGTGTTCTGAGGTGCTGGCTGCTGGGTCAGATGCTGCTGAGACAGGCCTGAGGCCCCAGGTCCTGCTGGCAGTAAGTGATGCATTTCGTGCAGCTGGAGAGGGAGGATTTGATCTCAGCAGTGCCACTGTTGAGCCCCTCCTGCAATGTGTCGCCTTTGCCAGAAGGAAAGGAATTTGGGAGCAGAGGAGAGGACTTGCAGAGGGAAGACCTAGAGCAAGGCTGCCTGGAAGCAGCATTTCTCACCTGCTTTGGCCAGTTCTGCCTCGGTCCTGAGAGGCTTTCCCAAGAAAAGCACGTGCATTTGGGGTGAACGGAAGGAGGAAGGGGAAGGACTTCTGCTTTTGACAAAATTCCACCTTCTTCTCAAAACAACACATCTCCTCTGCAACACCTCCAGAGTAGCTCGTCTCTTGGCCACGCTTCTTGAAGCCAAAAGAAATGTTTCATGATCAGCATCATGAATTAATCAACAGGCAAGTCCAGTAAGGCTGCTTGCAGCTAGACTCTACAAAAATGGCAGGGGGAAAGGAGAACAAGTGCTTTAAGGAATATACATCTCTGAGGCATTTATCGAGCCCTTCACATACTCCACAGAAGGACTGTAGCACAAGCCAGTACAACATGCTAAAAGTGCTATTTGCTGCAAAAGCACATTCTTACTTGAGGAAACAATCACCACCAGCACCTGAAACAGGGATAGGATGCAAATAAATTGAGGTGAGGAAGGTTAACTGTTCTCCAGAAACCCACAACATTCTCTGGCTTAAGAAATTCCTTCACTAAGCTTGCCACAGTGATCTAGCAGGAGTAAATGGATGATTTTAGCACATCCACGGGGTGGAACTATAGGGGAAGGAAGGCAGAGATTCATCTCTGTAACTGGGGACTCAAGAAAGCCTGCGATAGCCAGACTGCGGGGTTGTAGAAAGGCACCAGACACGAGCTCTAACTGTGCGAGGCTGCCAAAGCTAGCAATAGGATCTCGGAGTTAGCGACAAGTCAAGTTCAGAAATTAGGACACTCAAAGCAAACTGACTCGTATAAGGAAGAAACTTGGAAAGATTAGATGCTGGTTCCCATGGTCACATGTAGCTTTGGGAGGAAAGACATAGGGCTTTGAAAAACAGATGCATGCAACCAAGGTCCTGCGCAACTGTGAGCAAGTCATTTACGCTTTCTATAACTCCGTTTCCTTTCCGAAAAACAGAGATAGCAGTAGCACAAAAACTACACACTGCCAAGATAAGTACCACAGACTATGAGGTCTGCAGGCAGGATGATAAGATAGGCCATATCAGTACCTGAGATCCAAAGATACCTTAAAATAACCTGACTCGTCTTCTCCTGTGGCATTTGGCAGTACAACCAGTATCTGTCATGTTGCAAGCCAGCTTGTACATTATTAGGGCTTATTACAGAATCACAGAATCACAGAATCGTTGAGGTTGGAAGGGACCTCTGGAGATCATCTAGTCCAACCTCCCTCCTCAAGCAGGGTCACCTAGAGCATATTGCCCAGGATCACGTCCAGACGGGTTTTGAATATCTCCAGGGAAGGAGACTCCACTACCTCTCTGGGCAACCTGGTCCAATGCTCTTATTGAATTTATTAATATCCTTGTTACTAGAAGAAGAAAAAAAAAAAGAGGGAGAGAGAGAGAGAACTACAGAATTTGAGAAAATACCCATTTGAACATTTTCTCCCCTGATGATGACCCAAGACACGGGGAGAGGCTGGGACCATGAAGCAATGCCGGCATGGCTGGGTTCGCTGCAGAGGAAGGCCCAGCAAGCAGGGGTGCATGAGCAGAGGGTGCCACCCCGCGAGCCTCATGCTCCTGGCAGCTGCTGCTGTGGCACAAGCAGAGCCTCGGAGGGACTCAGCTGTCCTGGCTGAGGCATCAGCACGTCTCCTGCAGTACAGGCAACGGAGCCTGCCACGAATAAAGGTCAAGCCCGTTCGTGCTTGTGCAGAATAAGAAATTAGCTATAAGCTATATCTGAAGCAACAAACATTAGCTTATTCATGCAGCAAGTGGCTTAAAAAAAAAGTTAATACTCTTAGCACCAAAATCATTTTTTCCTAAAGCATGGGGTTATCGTTTTGAAAACAAAAACCTCAGTTACACTCAGAAGTAGGATCTAC